AGTGAATGCATCAGGATGTGTCTCTGCTGCTGCTGAGGGTCAGTGAATGCATCAGGATGTGTCTCTGCTGCTGCTGAGGGTCAGTGAATACATCAGGATGTGTCTCTGCTGCTGCTGAGGGTCAGTGAACGCATCACGATATGTCTCTGCTGCTGCGGCCCCCCAGCTGTTAGTGGACAGGGTGTGGGACTAAGCTGGACTCCAGGTGGTCTTACCTGAGGTAGCACAGTGGCTGCTGGTCCTGCCAGCCGGTGCAGAGAGCTGACCTGAGGCACCTTGATGGGCAGAGCTGTGAGAGTTCCCAACATCTGAAACACAGCAGGTGAWCTCAGTCAGGTGTTCACCTGGACATCATCACAACTTTGGTTCTACTGAGGGTTCTGCAGGTCTGAGGTCCAGAAAGACCAACACCTGAAGTACATCCTGAAGTTTCAAAATAAAACTACAGCTGAATATAAACCAGTGTCACACTGAATCTAAACCAGTTTAAACTGAACCAGAACCAGTTTCTGGGTCAAAGACCGACCGGTCTGTGGACCAGTTTGAACCTGCTCATGTGTCCAGATTAAAAGCAGGAGGTGAAGCTTTCCTCCTCTTCTTCCTTTCTTCTTCTGTGGATTTTGTTGTTTCTGCTGCAAAGCGGCTCAGTGAGGAGGAGGAGGAGGAGGAGGGCGGTTGCCATGGAAACTGCAGGGATGAAGATTCTTGCAGTGGAAGGCCTTTCATTTTGGTAATTGCTGCCTCTTTTCTTCAGACCTAACACCTTCTCTTCAGGGCTCTTCCTCCTCCTCCTCTTCCTCTCCACAGATCACTGAGGCCTGCTTTAATGAAGCTTCATCTTTTCATTCTTCCTCTCTGAAGTCGAAGCTTTAAATGAGACGAACAGCAGCAGAGAGGAGCTGTTACACAGCTGCTGTGTGTCTGTGTGTGTCTGTGTGTGTGTGTGTCTGTGTGTTAAACAGCTAAAAGCATCAGAAACCAGCAGCTGAAGCTGATTTATCTGTATCTGAATGTGTTTTATGTGGAAGTATTTCTAAACAAAGTTAAATATTTAGAAAAAGTACAAAAACCTAAACGAGCTAAACGAGCCAAAGTTTCTGATGAACAGCTAAAACAGCTGAAAGTCTGCAGAAGTAAAGGACCTGCTGAGTCAGCGTTTACCCAAGAAAACAGAAGAGTTTTACATGAAGTTTTAGCAACAGAGCAAAGGATAAATAAAATACTTCAGCCTGAACTAATGAAATAAAAGCATTCTGGGTCATTTCTGTCTGGACCAGGAGGACCAGCGGAGACTAATCCTGAACCAGGTTCTCAGCCAGTCTGACCCTCCTGCTGCCCTCGGGTCAAACTCAGACCTCCTGGGTCAGTCTGACCCGAGGGCAGCAGGAGGTGAAGCTTTTAAAGCTGAAGCAGTTCCTGCAGCTGCCAGCAGAGGGCGACAGCCTCAGTCTGTTCAACTGAGGAGGAAACTATCAGGCTTTTATTCTGAAACTCTGCAGGAAGTAGACCTGAAGCTGACCCAAACAGCCAACATGTGATCTCCAGGAGGACTCCCAACAGTTCGGGTCCTGTTTGGACCCTCTGAGCTTCACTGGTTCTGGACTACGAGGAGCTCACTGGATCTTCTGTCCCCTCTGGAGGATTTGAACCTGTACCGGTACCAGTGAATCAAAAGCCCGGCCCATGTCTTCAAACAGAACAGAACTGGGTCTGAACTAAATGTTTCTGTTTGGATCCTGGATCATCTGAAGGTTCTGGACCTAGAGGTTCTGATCCTCCTTGTTCTTATTGACAGACGTTTAATGAGAGATGATGAAGATGAGCAGGTGGGACCGAGGAAGAACAGAACCGGACCCTGAGGGCTCCCAGGCTCCGCCCTCCTCTTTATAACCAGCACCGGACCCCAGGTTCTGATGGGCTGTGAGCCCACTGAGGCCCTGGTTCTGAATCCTAAAACTGGGTCAAACATGTCCTCTGAACCCGTCCACCCTGCTGCTGTCCAGAACCTTCAGAGGCAAGAGCCGAACCTCCAATAACAGCCGAACCTCCAATAACAGCCGAACCTCCAAATTTGATAAAGAGCTGAAGGTTTGATAAAGAGCTGAAGGTTTGATAACGAGCTGAAGGTTTGATAACGAGCTGAAGGTTTGATAACGAGCTGAAGGTTTGATAACGAGCTGAAGGTTTGATAACGAGCTGAAGGTTTGATAACGAGCTGAAGGTTTTATACACAAACAGCTAAACAGGACAGTCTGCAGGAGTATGTAAAAGTGCTGAGTCAGCGTTGATGAATAAAGACTGCATAAATCTCGCTGCTCACCTGTTGCCCCGCCCACATTATATATTTAATCCTCTGTACCTGAGTCCTGACAACAGGATGCTAAAGGTCATTAAGCCCCTCCCCCTGCAGGTGCTCCAGGTGTGCAGTGTTACCTGGGATGGGGGCAGCTCTCCGACTCTCCTGCTGCTGCTGAACGAGTGGACTCCGCCCCCCGCCGCCCTGCCACCTGTCTGCAGGTTGATGGGGGACGTCTGCAGCGGCTCCGAGCTCGCCGCCTTCTGGCCGTTGATGTGCGCGGTCACCATGGAAACGGGCGCCTTGGCCGGCACCACGGAGATGGCGATGGCCTGGCTGGGAGGCTTGATGAGCGACAGCGGCTTGGTCGTGGCCACGGGGCAGCTTCTGACGGCCAGCTTCTGTGGGCGGAGTCAGAGAGGCCACAGGTGAAGCAGGTGTCAGACTGTGTTAGTTTAACAGGAAGTGATAAAACAATCAGATCAAATTTAAGAATCAAACCAGGAAGTGATTGATGGAGCAGCTCAGGCTTCATCACACAGGCCCCGCCCCCTCCCTCCTCTTCCTCAGAAGAACCTGACAGGTCTCTAATCAACCTTTAAACACCTCCGCAAACAGAAACAGCTTCACCTGAGGGCTCGGGTTACACCCAAAGAGTCCAGATCCTGTTCTGGACCAGAAGAGTCCAGCCTAAAGGAGACGGAACCAGAGCTGGGACTGGTCCAGAACCCGCCTGTCTCCCAGGATCTGGAGTCCTCCTGGACTACCAGCTTCCTCCAGTTCTTTTGTTTCAGGGATCAATGTGATCCACAGGTGGGCCGGGGCCTGGGGGCAGAGCCGAGGCCCCTCCCACTGTCTGAAAGGTCAGTCA